ATCTCTCTATCTCTCAGCATCTCTCTACATCTCCCAGCATATCTCTACATCTCTCTACACCTCTGTCTCTATCTCTCAGCATATCTCACCATCTCTCAGCATTATTTGAATGAGCTGCCAAGAGGTCATACATCACACCTATACTAACACCAGTCACGCGCACTGCCAAGTACCAAGAACACATCTTCAACTCACTAAACGTTCACCAGTACCATCGTCAACCAGCTTCGCAATATTTACAATATTAAATATAATATCTGCATATATCAAAGTCACTTACTTTATTTTCTTGAAAAACGCCATTGAGCCAGTATTGTGTGAAAATACTGTACACATCACCTTCTTCATTCCAGTTCTGTGGACGTAATAAAATGATATGTGATTGCACTATTAAAACTTGCAGCAATGGAAACAAATTTGTTTCACATAAAGGCCCACGCACACGGTGAGACACCTGCTCAGCACGAAGCTCACGCTCCGTGCTGAGCAGGAGTCTCGAAGCGGTGATTGGAGCGGGTACACGGCTGAGCCAATAAAAATGCGCAGCCATTTCGGAATAACTAAATACGCATGCGCCAACAGTGAGCAGGAACCTCAATACTCCGCACACGCTGAGTTTCAGGAACCTCAATACTCCGCACACGCTGAGTTTCAGCCTAGCGAGACCAAAATTATCAAACACGAGATATTTTCCTCACCGCCTCGCGAGACTGAAAACTCAGTGAAATCGACCCCGCACACGGTGAGATTCCTGCTGAGCACAGAGCGTGAGCTTCTTAAGTAAGATTCATTACTGCACTGTTAAATGCAGGGCGAGTAACACATTACACACCAAAAAAAAAGCAAATATATAATAAGACATTCAAAATTTGAAGATATGCGCTGCGAAGGGATTGCGTAGGGAATAAAAATGCAAAATTGAACGATAGCAACTTTTTAATGTTGCAATGTCACACATCACTACGCACACACACCTTTGTCAGCCTACATCAAACACATTCTTGGAAAATAGACATAATGTCTCAAATACGTGTCACGAGTAAAAAACAATTTTTTACACTCGGGAAGATTTAGTAATAAATTTAGCTAACCTCCCTCCATCTTATGCCATAAAATTAGGCAACTAAACTTTAGTTGAATTTTAAGCACATTTGTTCATTAAACAAGTATAAAATCCGTGTAGATTAGTTCTCAAACTGGAGAAATTCAAGCCCGGCAAACATATACCTGTTTTCAGTTTCCAATGCTTTTTTTTTAAGTGTATTAGCTTCTAAGCTAGATTCTAACCAAAAATCTCTGGGCACTTAATAATAATAGGCATAATTGCAAGAACTAACTTGAATGCAAACAGCTCCAGGATCTGCATCAGAAACTTCCCAAGTCCTTTCTTCTGTACTTCCTTCACCAGCTGAATCTCATAACTGAATAAAATATAGCAAAATTACTATAAAAACTCAGTATATCACCAATTTTCTTGCACTTTTAATACTTGTAATCATATATAATTATACAGATATAAGTATATAAACTGTCACAGACATTCATATGTACCAAGATGACAAACATTCAAAGACAATTCTATTATTACAATTACTAATTTGGGATACTTTTTGTACTGTTGCTGCTAATTAATTACCGTTACCATTTTATAACCGTGACCTATTCAAACATGGCTGTAAAAGCATATCTCTGCTATTCATAACTAGAAAGGGCAGTTGTCGCCAACTACATGTATCCCCCGTGTTCTCCCCAAGATGTGTAAGTATACCAAGTTTGGTCGTGCTAGGTCAATTAGGGGCCGAGTTATAGAGCGGAAGGGAAATATAATCAAGGTCAAGGTCAAGGTCAAATAAAAACTGCAGTGACCTGGTTTTGGTACGCGACACACATTCTCCCCAAGATGTGTAAGTATAGCAAGTTTGGTAGTGCTAGGTCAATTAGGGGCCGAGTTATAGAGCAGAAGGAAAATATGATCAAGGTCAAGGTAAAGGTCAAATAAAGGTTGTAGTGACCTGGCTATGGTACGCGACATACCTTCTCCCCAAGATGTGTAAGTATACCAAGTTTGGTAGCGCTAGGTCAATTAGGGGCCGAGTTAGAGAGCAGAAGGGAAATATGATCAAGGTCAAGGTAAAGGTGGTCAAATAAAGGTCGCAGTGACCTGGTTTTGGTACGCTGCTCACCTTCTCCCCAAGATGTGTAAGTATACCAAGTTTGGTAGCGCTAGGTGAATTAGGGGTCGAGTTATAGAGCGGAAGGGAAATTGTCTGCGGCGGCTGGGGAGACATGAAACCATAGTATCCCCACCGACTTCGTCGCGGGGGATACAATTATCAATATCTAGCTTCAGTAGTACCAGCATAATTTCGATGCGACATTAAACTAGAGCAGTAGAGTGAGTGAGTATACACACCAGTAAACAACCTCCACTTCATAGTCCATGTCGAAGCGAAAGTGCACGAGTGCTTTTCTCTGTCCCTGCTGATTGCGTGCGATCAGGTACCACACAGATTCATGAGTCATCTCTTCCCGCTTCGCTCTGTCACTCCAGCCTCCCTCGCTCATTTCGTATCTACCGGAGGTGCCCACCACAAACCGTGCGGTTAACGGACGAGAATGATTGCATTACGTGAGGCTTTCCGCACACTTACAGGTTGCAAGAGCTCGGCGCAAGAAATCTAATTTCATGGCAATGACTGCCATAAAATGGAGGATTAATTCTCCATCGCAATCGGAACACGTGAATATCATTCCACAACATTAATATTGTATGACAAAATGGGAATTAGATGATCAAAATTGCAAACCCCCCAACTGCTCTGCTTTTGTGCAATTTCTCCTCATTAGTTGGTTATATTAGGAATGTGATCGCAGAACTTTTGGTAAAGTCACTGAATTCAGAAATAAATAATACAATGAACTTTTTAAATCAAATTTAAATTGCTATTGAACAGTTAATATAATAGTGAAAGTTTAATGAATGATAAAATTTTAATTTTCTGCTATAACACGTCTCAACCCCACAGAAGCCAAAACAGATTTGTATACATGTGTCCACCTTTCTACTTACATATCTTGCATGTTGACCTTAGTCAGATCTATGCACCACTGTAGTGTTTCTTCGTCCAAGTCTGCTACTCGCTTCGCCTCAATATTTATGCTGATGCTATCAAGTAGATCGGGAAAGCTTATCATTTCGTTATCATTTATCATTGCACATAGTTCAGTGATAGTCATCAAGAATGCATTTCAATTCAGTCCGCACCTCTTTACCACATCTGGCCATGCATACAAACCTACAATGGTTATACTACGTTTTAGAATGTAATGTGTTGAATGTAAATACATCTATCTGTAAAATTACAATTCCATGTCGTTAGTTACATAAACGATATTTTAGTGGAAAACTATAATACAGTATTTTTTCCTGTTCAAGCATGTTAGAGTTTTATAGGTCATACTCATTTCGATCAAATTTCTGAAATGCTCCCATTGATAGCTCTTGGAATGGGTCCGTCATCTATAAAGAGAAAGGAAAATATATACAAATTACAAGTGTGATTGTCATAAAATTAAAACCTCCTGGGAGTAGCAGAAAAGAATTATAAACACATATTCAGGCAAATATCATGGCCGATTGCATAAAATTAATTTATATGTATTACAAAAAAAGTTCAATTTTATAAACGTGATTAAATACCTTGTTTGCTTCTGCAACACGCTTTTGTGCTTGAGCAATTCTTTCAGATTCCTACACCGAAAATATGTAACACTCATATATCATGAACTAAAGACTCAATAACCCGTAACTTCCCAGATGTATAATCATCTAATATTTAACATTTTGACACTTTACTCATTCATGTATGTCTTCATTACATACAATGTATGAACGTGTTTAATTAATACCATATCACAAGTGAATCTACAAGCATTCTATTAAACTAGAGTAATATGCAATTTTCTATAAAATAAAAATTTTGAATGGCTATTGTAAGCCTAACAATTACATAATAGTATCTGTAATGTTACAGCAAACCTTACCTCTTTCCACTTTTGCCGTCTCTCTTTGAAGCTGCCTTTCATACCAGACTTCCTCTGCAATATAGGTTTAACAAAAAATGTATTGACAACATCTGTTCAAGAACGATCAATGCAGATTATAGTTGATCTGGGCTTCCTTGGTCAAACCACACACACCCCTTTACCTATTTATTTATTGTAATTTATTCAAACTATCAGTATAGCCAATATACACATCTTAATCTGAATTTACTGCAAAACACTTACCCCCATGTTGCAAGTAGATGGGGCCTTTGACACGAAAAAAATTTGGTAGCAGGTTTCTGAAACATTAAAAACTTTAATTATCTTATTATCTTATTATTTTATTAACTTTAACTGTGTAATATTACTTGACTGTAATAATGTGGTGTTGGACTGTATACCAAGACTTTACATGGACAAGTAAATAATTTATGAGATAACATAAATAATACATACACCACTGCCTATTTGGATATTTTTGCATGACATTAATTGTGAAATGAATAATTTGGTTTGGACAGTGTTTTGATGTTTAACACAGGGATGAGATTGGATAATTTAATTTTCAGCTGAAATTTTAATTAGCAAACAAACAGAGGAGCGAGCAATGGGAGGACCGTAGGTCATCGCCATGCTAGGGGGGTCCGGGGGCATGCTCCCCTGGAATTTTTTAAAAGAATGGTGCAATTTGGTGCATTCTAAGCTATTCTGAACACATTATAGGATACCTTTGAATCACCTTTTCAAGTTGTCAAAAGGAACAAACGAACTATAATAGGAAATCAGGGGGCTGAAAATAGGGCAAATTTTTTATTAAATGTCTAGACATAATGATATTTTTCTGTTTCCACCCGTCGCTTGCATTGTTTTACTCAGACATAAGCTGCCTTGCTGCGACGAGATTTGAATGAAAAAAACACAATGCGAATGGAACAATCAGTGCATAGTCATGCACACAACATGCACGCAGCAACATGTAAACCCGGCCCCCAGGCCAGGCATGGTCGTTACGTGATCAGCTACCCCAAATGTTTGCCCCTCTACTGCAGCCTGTGAACGAGGATTTTCTTTTCTGGTACGCAAAAACAGATACACTGTATACTTCGCTGTCAGCCTACTGTCTACACTCTACAGTCTACAGTCAGGTGCTGTTGAGGATATATAATTTAAATTGTTACATTGTTACCCCCCTCCCAATTTTCTCAACGAATTTAGACGTTTCACAAAATCGACCCCTGGGACTGTCAAATCCGCGGATTTCCGCGGAAGAATCTCATCCCTGTTAACAGCGTTCGAAATTGGTGCCGACCCGGAGGCCCGAGGCCACCAAGTTTTTGCTCGGGCCACCATCTCTACGAAACTGGAAGGACCGGCACTTTTTCCCCTCATATTATGCTGAAATACTTCGGTTATCGCAACGGCGTTTAGACAGACATGTAAACGGGAGCGTATTCTAATGCGCTCCGTTTCTGACGGGGTATCCAAAAAGTCTAGAGCTGAGGGCATGAACTGCCTCAACTCATGATTCGCCATACGAACAAAAACTTGCGACCGTCTAAAAAATCGATTGCGGCATGCCGCATGTAGCGTAGCCGAGTGTTTTTATGCGTTATAAGTTATGAGTGTTTTAATGCATAATAATAAGTTCCTATGTCGCAGGGGTTATCAGGGGTTATCGTGACTGAATTCGTTACTTTTCTTTACATAGAAAGTTGACTATTTTTATTCAGTTAGATATCTAGAAGCAATGTAAACTGTATATATACTTAAAGATTCTAGGCAGTTGTAACTTTGAGGATGTGCGGCAGCATTGATCTATGCATGGGGGTACCGAAGACTGGGGAGGAGAAAAACGAAAGTAAAACCTTTCCCAGAAGCTCCCCCGACATGCCTAGAGTTGAAATATATTATTTGACCAACTCTACATGTTACATGTATGTTGTTGATGCCAATGGTTATTTTTGTATACTATTTTGTTACTCACTGCTAGGAAATAAGCAGACCACCAACTTTTGTACAGGACCACCAACTTTCTGAAGTTGGTGGTCCCGCTGTCCACTAGATTTTCAGCCGAAATTCGAACCCTGATGTTTAATTAACAATGGTTGGCAAAGGCAAACACTATTATTTTGCCAGCCAGGCCTTTAAATTGTTTCATTGGCTACAGCATAGCATGCCACACTGCAATACTTATTACACTTTTAAAGGGTGCACTGATAGCGATAGACTTATGCACAAGAATTTATATCCCTGCCGTGGAATGAAGGGCTATACACGCTGGTATGCTGTATACGCAGTATATTTCGCGGTGGTTTAATATTCGCGTATTTCGCGAATGCGTCCCCGACCGCGAAAATAACAACACGCAAATAATTCATACCGAATAATATCGAGTAATTCATAATTCACCTATCGCGAAATTAACCTCTCGCGAAATTGTCCGTCAAGTCTGAATTCGCGAAAATATCTGTACGCTAAAAATATGGCGTATACAGTAGTCTATAAAGCCAAGGGGACATACTATACAGGGTGAATTTTGCAGGGCATGCCAACATAGCATCGCATCACATGGCATTCGCATAGCACATAACTATATAAATTATAATAATTAAGTGCCTTCACTTCAGTGCTTCACTCCGCCACACTCAAGAGGATCGAACGTTGGCCGTGGCCAGTAGGGCTCATAGGGTCTATGTCCCCCAGGGTACTGCCGGAACGTACCCTGGGTACGGTCCGGTATACCGGAACGTACCCTGGTCACTATTTGATATGGTTAGTGTTAGGATTAGGGTTAGGGTTCGGGTTAGGGTTAGGGTTCGGGTTCGGGTTCGGGATATGGAGCAGGCGTAGGCGACTCCCTAGACTCGTTAGTGGAGTAGGCGAGGTACGGTCCGGCATATAATATAGTACCAGGGTACGTTCCGGTATACCGGACCGTACCCAGGGTACGTTCCGGCAGTACCGCGGGAGACATAGACCCTCTCAGCGCCAGTAGGCCCTAATGCTCAGATTGCTAGTCTACTGTAAGCTGCAAGGGACTGTCTAGACTAGAGGTTCCAGTCTGAACTGTTTCACACCTTCTTGCCACGTAGTGAGAAGAGAGAAGGCAACTTATGGCAATCTTACTGTAACTCTTAGAACCTATGCTAGGTATGTAATGTACGTATGATCATGTTGGCAGTCCGCACACAAACTTATCAGGCGTGCTAGTGTCGTGATAGCTCTAGTACTATAGCCGCTTACATTAACTGCCGCTGGCGGCTCATAGCGCTCATTTAGCTGCCAGCGGCAGTTAATGTAAGCGGCTATAGTACTACTACTAGAGCTAGTGTCGTGACAATCCAATACATTACTTTAGTCATTACACTAGGAGCGACGTACAAGTAATTTATGTGCATTCACGCGTTATATATTGCTTATTACATTAACTGCGATGTATTCTACTGAAATTATTGTATCTTAGTCCAACCTGGATCTCTAATACGATCGTGTTGTTCAACAACGCGTGGACAACAACATTTGCCGCGGTAATTACAAGTGAACAGTACTGGTAGGCCACTGACCAGAGCCAGACGTAGATATTTATGAAAGACTACAACTTGGAAATATTTATTTATATTATATCATCTTTAGATATGAAGCGCTGTGTTTATCAAAACATTACATATAATAAAAATACATGTAAATAATGTATATTGGTTGTATATATCTATGGTATATGCTGGCTAGAATTATTGTAATTATTTCGTCTAATCTATCGACAGGATTTGTCTGGTTCTGTATTATCATGGCTGCGCCCACTCATACTTGGTATTTATCATTGTAAACAATCCCCGTAATAGTCCTATTCTCTGAAGCTGGGGCGATTTACCGGCACTAATTTCAACACTGATGTGAATATGAACACAGTGTCTTAATTTGTTTTCTTCTAGTAAAAGTAATGAAACCTGACCAGCATAAGAAAAAAAGCAGTGCACAGTACAATGCAAAACATAATATTAATAATAATATTAATAAACGAGATTCAGGCTCAGCCTCATCATGTCGTAGAGGAGGGAGAGTGGGTAGACAGGGAAGAAGAGATGATTCTGCCCAAGTGGAGCCGGAAACCAGGGAGCAGGTTTGAGAACCTATAAGTCTACATTGCAAAGAATGTAAAGAATGTAAAGATTAACAAATGCCTTGATGCAATGCTGGTTCATAATTGCAAAACGTAAACCAAATTAACTTTAAGTGGTACCGTATATTCCAAAAAGTATTTTACAATGAAAATAAACATTTCTAGCTAAAAGTAATGCACACAACAACGTGCAATTGCCTATAGAACAATTAATCGCATTGTATAATGTGATCAATGTAAATGAACTAATCTAATATTTTACCCGTGCATGTAATCCTATACTATAGGATGACACTTCCGAATTAGAAGAGGCTCCATCTTCGTTTTCAAGACGAGGTGTTACCAGTAACTGGGACAGGTATGAATGCGACGTTGACACGCCAAGTGAGCAGGAACAGTGCAGGGGTGCCGACTTCCACTCATTACTAACGACAACAGGTGTGTACGGCGGCCGGTCTTGCATTCATGCACACATCACAAAGCCTGGCAGTGTTCGCAGTGTTAGAATACCAAGAAATTTAGAATAGGTTAACAGTTCGGTTAAATTATGTGACACTAACATGTGCAACATAATCTTAATGGCATTCGTATTGGCTTCGAATGGATAACTATATTCATGCAATATCTGTTTATGTTTTTGAGCAGGGGGCTCAGCAGCAGAATTTCGCTTTAAGGATGAAAGACAATGGGATGCCGAGGAGAGCGAGAGCAGCAGCAGCGTTCCTGTTGGAGGCTTCATGTCAATCGACTGTGATACTCTCGCTGCAGCCCTTGCATGTATTCCACTGCACAAGCGTCTGCACTTGGATGAAAGCTTATTTGAGGTTATTATCAACATTTAGGTTCGGCTCATATAAACATATAGATCGATCTTCTTTTACGATATGATAGAAAACCGTTTGTGAGCAAGGAGATTTAAACCAAATTTTTTTTTCTTACAGGAGAAACATATTAAAGCTTTTGCAGAGGATGCCAAGAGATGTTCTGAAATGTACTCACCCGCACCATACAAACCACTACCTTTCAATGCAGATGATGAGAAGCACACAATTGCTAGCAATGTAATTGGTCTACTTAGCGATGGCACAGAATCTACAACACTAAATAAGTTGGGTGTTGAATCTGTTGATAACGAGTCTCATGGTACATGCCAAATTACCGGACAGCATCTAAAAGATGCAAATTCAGCAGTGACTGAAGCAGAGCAAGCGGAGCTGGATTTTTTGCTGTCGTCAACACCTATTCCCAACTTGAGAGCAGAAGCATCAGTGCCTGTCACAGATTCAGTAACCATGCTTCCTGTACAGAATACCGACAGAAAGCTTACTAGCGACTTGCAACAGACCAGTGCAGGAACTGAAGTGGGTAGCAAGTCGGATAAAGACGTCACAGAAATAACCGCTGCTTTAGGGAACGTGGCGATTCAGAAGCAAGAAGATGATCTAGACACCCTCCTGTCTTTGGATTCGCAGTTGGCTCACACAGGTTCCAAGAATGAATGCCGTCCAGTAGGTTCAGGTGTGTCTTCTGCATGTAACTATATTCACGATCTACATGACAATAATATATTTAGATAATTCTAATCCCAGTAGAGTAATTTATACAACACTATGAATTGATGAAACTGCCTCTTCATTATAACGTGTAGTTAAATGTAAATGTAAAATGGAATTACAGGTTGTGCTATCTATATATGATTATACAGGAACATGAAGACATATTCGTCCATTCTTTTGTAGGCTCAGGAGCAGGTGGTGTTGACCTGGATGACTGGTTGGACAGTGTTCTAGATAGTTGAAGTGCATACGTCTGCTAATATCAACCAATATCTACGCTGTACAGAACCTTAAACTCTGCAAATGTGACAAGTGATGTAACTTGATGAACTGCATTATGGTAACAAGATGATATAAACAAGAGAGAAACTGTACTCCCATTTACATGTACAGTCCGACCTCCTTTATCCGGCCATCCGTTATCCGGAAATCTCTATTAACCGGCCGCGATCTCGCAGTGCATGTTCTCTGTTTTTCATTCATTTCCACCTAAAAATCTCGCTCAAAACTCGTGCGATGTACCAACCGTACGTGTGTTTGCGTGTGCGTGTGCGTGTGTGTGTGCTGTCCGCTATGCCTCCAGTAAAATTTCTGTTTTATTTCATTTTATTTCCATTTCATATAAACCATAAAACACGACAGTTTGTTACAAATAATCATAGCAATGAGTAAATACATTATCCCATGCATAAACCCTACTGAACTGCATAGAAATGCTGTGTTTGAGCATAACTCTCACATCCGGCCAAATCCCATATCCGGATGGGTGCCTGTCCCGACGTGGCCGGATAAAGGAGGTCGGACTGTACTATAATGTACTCCTGCTCTGACAGAATAAAGGCAAGAAGTGTAACTTATACATCACATGTTTAGTTTTTTTTTTATCAAATTAATATAAACAAGTTTAATTTGTACGGATTACGAACATTACTTACATCAGGCTGTCAGATTGGCTCAAACCCTTTGTATGACAACCGTCAAAAACTCGCGAGTCCTATAAGTCTTTTAAATATTTCATTTAGAGACATGGTTGCTCTAAGCAAACACTATCGTCTTGTAAGTGCATTGAGTGAATAGCATTCTTTACTATGACTACACCACCACATCTTTTATCATTGTTGAATGCAATTAGTATGCGTACACTAAATTTACTTTATATGGACAGGCATCTTCAAGCTGTCAGATTGGATGAAACCCTTGGTAAGACAGCCGTCACAAACTGTCGTTAGTTCCGTAAATTTAGTGTACGTTATTATCACGATTCAGGTCAATAGCCACGGGGGAGGGGGGTTGAGGAGCACAAATAAATAATAGAATAAATATTTTAACAAATTTCCATCACACTACCTCTGCTCTCATTTCTTAATTAAAACTTCTAAAATAACATTCAGTTATTAATAGTTGGTTCAGAAAATCCCCCTGCCAGGTATATGATCAAGCTATGCTCCTGTGACTATTACATTACCCGCAAAAAGCAGAAAATGTGATTTGTGAATAGCGTCAGCACCCTTTCCCGGTTCCCCGAAACTTCAATATAATCACACAGCATCTATAGTCGATCGTAACCTGAGCAATTGTTCTGAACGAATTCTTCCGAATGAGCATAGCAAGCAGCCGCACAACGATTCAAACATAATTCGCGCAGCTACGGACGTGTAGCGAATTCGGAGTACCCCCGCCCCCGCGCGCCGTGAGATTCTCGCGTTTAATCGATGCGCGACAGAACATGTAGGATCGTGTCCACTGACGGCCTGTCGACGGACGTCTCACTGCGGTGCACGAACACCAAGCGGCCAGACCTGTCGACGACGCAGTCTCCGCCGCTCTGGTGGATGTCCTCGCGCTGCGCTCGGAACATCTCCGGCAGCGGCGTTCCCGCGGCCATCTGCTCCGAGTAGTACGTCAGCGACGCCACGTTCCACACCCTGTACGCCGAGCGACCGAGCCCGAGGCGCCGGTAGACGAGCCGGTCCTCGCTCACCGCCATGTCGAAGTCGGCGGCCGTCTGGCGGCGCCACTCGCGCGCCGCCTCGGTCGTGCCGATCGAGACGAGGAGGACGCGGGCGCCGGCGGCGGCGAGCTCGGCGCGGCGGCGCGCGAGCGCAAGCGCGTGCGCGCGTCACGGCAGTCAAGCAAAGTGACGCAGCAGCACGACGACGACGGCGGCGCCCCCTAGGTAGTCGGCGAGCGCGACCTCAGCGCGCGTGCCCGCGTCACGGAGCCGCGCGTCGCCCGGCGCCGGGTCGCCGACCTCGACGCCGCCGCCGCCGCCGTCGCCGCCGCCGTCGTTGCTGCGGCGACGCGCGCGGTCGTCAACGTCGTGCAGGAACGCGTTCCAGGCGCCCTCTACCTCGAGGAGGTCGTCGACGGACTCGCGGACGTCGCGGTTTGCGTAGCAGCGCCCCCACGCGTCCTCGGCCTGCCGCCGCGTCGCGCAGCCGACTCCCGCCAGCATGTCGCGGTAGACTCCGAGCGCGCGGCCCATGCAGCCGTAGTCTCGCTCGAGAAACTCCTCGACGGATCCCGCGGCTCGGAGGCGCGCCGTCGCCAGTATCTCCTCCATCGAGGCGGCCGTTGCCGTGACGACGCTCGCCAGGTGGCGCCGCGCGTCCGTCGTCTCGGACGACATTCGTGTGATGTCGTGGACCTTAGGCTGTAAAGAAAGAAATCTTCTGACGAAGGACAACCGAATTCGAATGTTTAGGTGAGCGCGGCACAGAATTCAGAATGCGAAAAGAAATGTGTCGAGAGAAGAGTGTATGCGATTAAATGTGACGAGAAATTTGCCAGAGTGATTGCCAAACAAAGTATTTAGAAGACTTCAGGAATCAAATGTTTATTATTTGTAAAACAGTTGGGCACGTGCAAATGTCTTTCACATTAGAAAACTATTTTTTTACATTTCAACTAACCTTACAAAAATATTCATTAGAATTCTTACATTTTCAGTATTTCAAGTAAAGGCATGAGCTACAAGTATGGAATACAAGTATCCAGAATGTCTATCAACATAATTGCAGCGTTTTGAGCCGTAAAACAGAACTAAGCTAGTCAGCAGCCACGACAACACACAATTCTTAACAACCTGATCTTCTGTAATCATACCCTCACATAGCCTACTTGCTGTACTTGACATGCGCAGAATCAAGTTTCCATTTAAACAAATAGGGTTAAATATAGGTTGCAGATGGTCCACATAAATATACATCTACCCGTCGACGGTTTCATCAAAACTTAGTTATTCCACGCAGCCACTCGGAAGTATAATCTGACAACTAAAACAACAATCGTGTAAGTAAACTTCCTCCGCTGTAAATGTCCAAACACACAGTGTGATAGTTTTTCTCTTAGCATCACCTTCGACATATACATCTATGTGTTATCTTCCCGAAATCAAGTGTTCATAACACTCGGGCTAATAACTAAATTGAACTAATTCACTCTAACACGGCATTTGTATTTTCCAATTAGTAATTCAAGCATGGTCGCTCAGCACTGCGCGCTTTTGTTCGAGCCAGCTCTGTCAACGTGCACTCGATCCGTTACATCGTGTAACTACACGACACAATCACATTGACCTACCGTCTCGCCCCTTGCTGCATCGACACATAAATATTATCGGTAACCAGGTAACAAAGTTCTGCGCGCGTAACAACAGCAGTCCAGTTTCTATAAACTACACCGTCCATCGGCAAACACGGAGAACGGGAGCGAGAGAGCCGGTTGTCGTCGTCGCCGTCGGCAACCCGACGCGCGCTCGCGCCAAAGCTAGAGCAGCACGTCGAATAGAACCTTCAACACGCCGACGATTATCGTCCACAGCAGCGACTCCTCCTCATGGCTCTCGCCGTACGCCGGCATGTCAGGCAACGGCAGCTTCGGCGTCGCCGCGGCGAACCCCGCTTCGTTGTCGCGCTCCGCTCGCTCGTACTCCGGCTCCGAGCGATCGTCCGACAGGTAGATCTCGAGCGAGTACTCGCTCTCCATATGATGCGGGTGTCCGTAGACGCCGACGCCGACGGGGCGGCGGAACGCGGCGGGAATCGTGACGGAGTCGAGGCCGCACGTCACCGACTGCAGGTCGTGGTTCTCGAACGCAAAGTCCGGCCGCAGCGTCGACTCTGAGACGTAGAGGTCGGCGTCGCCGCGCATCGAGCGCAGCACCATCGTCACGCTGCCGGCGCGGTTCAGACGGAAGTACGTGTAGTTGCCCGCGGCGACGACGTCCTGCAGACGCTGGACGAGGTCGCCGGTGGCGACGGAGAGCCGCACGCATGTGGCGAGGCAGGCGAGCAGAGCGGCGATGATAGCGTGCACTCGCATGGCTGCTGCCGACTGGCGCGCAGGGGGGGGGAGGCGCGGGCGCCACGCGCAGCGTCTGAAAAACAGAAGAAGGTGGCGACGTGAAGACGCGAACGCGGGTATTGTTTTTCGTGCGAAAGAAAATGCGGCCGTTGTTACTCTCGCCGTCCTGCGACGGCAAATGGATTTGTTTTTACGTGGTTTTATATTTATATGGTCGTTTCGATCTTATATCCTGTTAACGCTATCCTGTTGGGATAGATTTTATGCCGATCGTATATATACGGAAAGGGATAGCAGCGTATTTAATTCATTAGAAGGTGAGACAATTTTTGATTCTGAATGCATGTTCTACTTATGTGAGTTATTGCGCTCATTAAAATTGCAAAGAAATTGTTAGAAATTCCACATAAAAAATCAACTACACGTTAAAGGAATTGCTTAAACTATGTTATCTACGCATACACTTACTATATATATACTTGGTGTGGTTTTAGATGGGCTCCACTTTGAAGAATTCTCCTATGCCTGTTGGCAAAATGTTGGCAAGCTGTTAGTACGTACACTAATGGAAACAAAGGTGAACCAAAAAACTGGCATGTAAGTTGTAACTGAGCGATCTGTGATGATTCCGCAAAAATGGCACCGCACCTCCAACTGTAAGTGTAAATATGTTGATAGCTACAGGGAGCGTACCACTCTAGCGTCGAATGTGACCAATTATTTGTGGAAACTCAAAACCCTTCTCAGCGCTATACCAGGATCATTTTTCTGTTTTCATAAAAAACTCTATCGATAGTAATGTCACAGACACGTACTGTGACGTAGTGCAGGGTGTGAAATTAACGAGAGTCCGGAGTCAATTAAATACTCCCTGATTTGACATATGCAGGAGTCTGTGTGACTTCCTGAAAATTCTGCCATACTAACTAGTTCATTCCAGAGCACGGCCTCATGGAATTACCATATTTTTCCAGCAAATGTCCAAAGAAAATTTAACAGACGTGCAACCGCATGAATCTTCAAAATAAGCACATGCGTTGTTAATATCTTTAATTTTGAACTTCAGACTGCGGACTCCCTCATTTTGCCGCGGACTCCCTCTTTTTGAGGGCAGGGACTTTTTTTTTTTGTTGGACTCCCTTGTTCAAAATTTAATTTTTACACCTGTCAGTTGTCAGTACACATGCCATGTTTTTTTATATAATTTTATTTTAATAAATATATTTTTTATATTTTATATTTCTTTATATAACTCTTACCAAGGCGTTATCACTGATAATATATACAGGGGTAGAAATTACTTTTAAACGATGGAGTTCCAACGGCCATCCCTTAGTCCTTACCAGGGGCCCGGTTACAGGATTCTGTAGCAGGGGGGGTCTACTGTAATCCCAAACTTGCGAGCACGCGAAGGGAGGGTGAGTCTGGCCGGGCACTCCCCCAGAAAATTGATGAATTTGACCTCCTCTAGATGCCGTTTTCTGGCTGCTCCGAGCAGGGGGGGGGGGTCCGTCGCGACCCCTCGTAGACACCCCTGCGTACACGCCCTGTCTACCTTAAAAAATAGGGACGTCCGCCAGCAAAATTATGAGGGAGCGTCCGCAGTCTGGAAGATCCAGAAAATAAGACTATTGTTACAATCCGCATGTGTGCTTTCTGTTTTTTAAGCATTTCATGCCAGTTAGCACGTCTGCCAAATTTTCTGTTGGACATTAGCTAAAAAAACATGGTAATTCCCGCAGGCCATGCTCCTGGACACGAGACCACTATCTTAGTGATGGCCAGGAATTTTTCAGGAAGTCACACGGACTCCTACACATGTCAAATCAGGGAGTCCGACAGTAAATCAGAGAGTATGACTCCGGACTCCCGTTAATTTTGCACCTTGTAGTGTCTCGTTTCCTTTCATTGTACACAGAAATATTGTCATACAACATCATTTTCTACAACACTGCATATGCGTTTCACCAAGAGCTCATAATAGAGAAGAGCATGACACCGTTTCAACAGCGTTTTGCATAGTTTTCAACTTGTAAATATTCTATCAATATGTGAATAAATATATTCAAACTTTACCTTGTTTTCGTCTATGATTCTCCCTTAATCATATGACACCACAAATTTACCTGAAAATCGTATGTGTTCTTCAAAAAAGTTCTTTGAATACGACACGGTTTCACACAGTTTTCCCAAATGTTCGCATGTATTCGGCGCGAGTTTATTATCGGATTAGTGTTCTATTGTCTATGACGGAATGCTGGGGGCTGTTGGGGATATTAGGCATCGAATTGTATTCAGCGTGTAACGTTTCCAGTGTGCTAGAAATAAATGTGTGCTCACGGCGAGTTAGCAGCTGATTTTAGCTGTGTTTCCATCGTGTTCCTGAAGATAAGGAAGCGAAACAAGTGCTGTTACTGTGCTTACCTAATATCCCCAACAGCCCCCAGCGTCCCGTAGTTAGAACCTGGTGCTGCCGCCGCTATATCAAGTTTGGCCGCAAAGATGCAAAAGTTTGGGAAAACTGTGTGAAACCTTGTCGTATTCAAAGAACTTTTTTGAAGAACACATACGATTTTCAGGTAAATTGGTGGTGTCATATGATTAAGGGAGAATCATAGACGAAAACAAGGTAAAGTTTGAATATATTTATTCACATATTGATAGAATATTTACAAGTTGAAAACTATGCAAAACGCTGTTAAAACAGTGTCATATTCTTCTCTATTATGTACTCTTGGTTTCACATGCCTTGCTTTTCTCAGCTGTTGTAGACGCTTTTAGTTTTATTGTAGATTATAGATAAACTACACTAAATATGATAAACTACAATAAGTATGATAATCATGGCACTGCCTAAAACATCAAACCCATAATTTAAAATTTCAATCCTTCTGCACAAATTCCTTACAACCAGTGCGATGAGACAATTTCTTAGTGACTGTTCTGAAGTTTCAATTAAATACTTGCCACTACATAAATATTAACATAAGATATCTTGTCGTGTCTACTTGTGATTCAATAGTCTGGATTTATATCGAACATGATAGGCCACAGCTGTGTAGTTGTTAATAAAACATCTACGCAATGTTGCGATGGTTTTTATGTAGAATGAAGTAATAACATCATTACCAGGGGCGTGTACAGGATTTGTACCAGGGGGGGTCTAACCGTAACCCAAACTTGCGAGCACGCGAAGGGGAGGTCTGGGGCCCTTCCCCAGAAAATCTTTGAAATTAGACCCCCTTAGATGCGTTTTCTGCGCGAGCAGGGGGGGGGGTCTGGACCCCCTGAACCCCCCAACGTACACGCCCCTGATTACTGTAAAGGTGTAACGATATGCTACAGGCATGATACGATATGTATTGCGACATTCGTACAATATGATATCAGGGGTGGGGAAAGATACACGGAGATATAGAAAGAGATTAGGAGATAAAGTGGTAAAGAGAGAAGTAGAGATAGGTCAAAAAAAGCTGGGTGCATGAACCGGTGCATACCAGGTTAATAGCAAAGTAGTGGCACATGAAGTAAAACAAGTGTATCCCCTCCCCCAAATGTACACTGCACGTGTACTGTGTTATATGCGATATCTAGCTGTGCAGTGAAGAAAGCGACGCTTATTTAAATCCATGACTGCCGAACATAATTATAAATCTTTGTGTGACTTTCGATATGTGATAAAAAAGCGAACACTTGTGTACCACACTTAGTAGCATGTCAGTACCACAAGGTAGTTACACACATATTTACAGCTTATACCTATATATAATCCAGTAAGCTGCAGATTAAAGGAACACATGTAAGCATTTAGGTACTTATTGGCAATCTCAGATTGACCCAGGACCCCGCCCAATGGTGATTGATAAAGATACCACAAGCTGTTTGTAATGGTCAGCCCCCACACAAATCTCAAGATTGGGCACGCTGAAAACAGTCGCTTATTCAACTACACCGATTGTGGTGTATGCAAGCATAACTGGTGCAAACTAGGAAGGGATAATCATTTATTATTTATTTATGTGCCAAACACATTGAAGAAAGCTGATAAGAAGATATAGGAACTCTTTCTGATGATATATCATATATTACATATGTTATATATAACCTTTGATACCCTATGAATTCCAAGTTTGTGCAAACCCTGCTCACCTTGCCCAAACTAGGAATTTGTCCTATCAAAATTCAAATTGTCTAAAATATCCATTTAATTTCTTAACCAAGATGCCAGTTGCCACACACAATCAAGAAAGAGGATATAGAATCTCATGGTAATGATATAACATTTCATAGCCTATGAATTTAATAGTTAATAAAATATGTAACACGTTTTGCCCAATCTGCAGATTGGTTGCCCAAACTGCGGATGCGCTGAAATTCATAGTTTGTGCAAGATTCCAAGTTTGGGTACAACATTTTGCCACATTTGGTAACACTTTGCAAGCCCACACACCGATAAAAAAGTTTTTGCACACAGCCTGCTGGAGCCTACGTGTACTCACACCACCTGTAAATGCATGCAATGGAAAGCGCACGAGTGCACCTAAATTCCGAATCGTGGCCCTTAAACAAAGTCACCCGACCAAAATTTTCTTTTACCAGGTCAAGCACATAATCACATAAGTGAAAACTGATGTCTTTGCTGACAGTGACACACTAACAACAGCATTCATCTGGCACCTGCCCGTTGCGAGGATAAGGAGACCGAATGTTTATCCATCCTGGTGAGTTGGCTGAGTGCACTTTACACCCGGCTTGTGTGATGGCAGCTTAGCTCTCGATCGGTTTTAGACAAGCGGGCTCTTCCTTTTAGCAATCCATGTCAGCGTAAATTTATGGGTCACACCCAAAATTTCCCCCCTCGTAGCATACGAATTCCTGCAATACACTATTTAGCGCCTCTGCAATCAAGGGTTAAATACCGGACACTGCATAGATAAGTGTCACTCTAGTTCCAACTATACAGCCCTCTGCTACGACATAGCCTCTGCTAGGGCTTTAATACTCCGTACAGACTGCAAATTAGATTCTACATCCAACTAGTCCGGGCCAGGCGCGTGCAGAATATTTGCAATGTGTATTTTGTGCCTGCAAGCTGCGAATTAGCGCGTGCGTTGTCCAGACTAGTTTGATGTAGGATTAAATTTTGCAGTTTGTACTGGGTATATAAGACAATGTACGATCGCATCTGTCCCACAAGTGAATAATTGCATGATGTCGAGTGACTGATCTTTAGTGCGACTGCCACTTCAACTTTAACACGACTGCAATTGTAACACCTGTGACCGTTAGCGCCAAATGTGGTCAAATTACGACGAGTTGAGTCTTAAAGGCATAATAAGCCCATTGCTTATGCAATGTTGACGAATTGATTTTGGACAAACTAATACGCGGGTGGCTATAAGGTTATGTACTTATTAACTACACAAGGTGCCAGTTACTCTAGCATTCATCAACATTGCATAATCAATGGGCTTATTATGCCTTTAACGACTGGCCGCATAAAGCGAATACCATCTATCTTGCCA